GGCGTTCAGTAAAATTCACATTGTTTATATAAACAGTTTACACATAATAAGAGACTCTTACCACTTGCAGTGAAGGGACACCCCTCAACCCAAGTTCCCAGGTGTCACTCAAGAACATTTCAAGGAGGCCTCCTACATGAATACTCTTCTGTACACCAATAGATTAGTACATCGTTTTAGAACACGGCCCTTATCTACTTGTTCTCTCCTTTAATCCCTAGTTGTTGGGGGTTTTTTAAAGCCTGAAACACAATAGTCACTCCAAAGACAATTTTTTTTCTAGTGAAAAATTCCCAGCTCTTCCAATTCTTGGCTGTATCACAATGGGAGAGTTATTTAACCTTTCTGTACCTGTCTCCTCACCACTGAAATAGGATAATTGTAGCACCTACCTCAAAAGCTTGTTTTGAGAATTAAATGAGTTAATATGCTTAGAGTAGTCAAAATATCTCTATTATATTTTGAGGAAACTTAAGATAGACAAATTTCTTTAGATCAGTAATCATCACAAACCTTTGTTCATATAAATTTACTCTGCAAAAATAAACATCATAAATACCAATTTCTCAAAACAATCTCTATTTCTTAATAAGAATTATTTAAAAATAACTTTACATAACAACTCTCAAATAACAAATGCAATGAAAAACATTCTCTATCCTCACTAGCTATGATGGACTCTAAGGCTGGGTCTCACAACCAACCTAGCTCTGCATATTTCTACTTTTTGAAGTTAGAAAGTTGAGATTCCCTGGAAGGCAAGGTATTGGAATAAATTAGGGTCTTCCAATTCTGTCCAAGTGGAACGCAGAGGCATGCACAGGCCATGTTCCCCCATTACAGGCACCTGGAGAAAGTGCCTAACAGTCACAGGTGCTGCAGCAACCTCTGTCCTTCTCCCCCAAGCTCGCCAGTGTTTTGGGTGAGACATAGCCACGGCAGAGGGCAACGGCTAAAGTGGCAGTACACATGGCCTTGGAAAGAGAAGGCTTCCTGCTTTTCCCTCCCCCAACGATTGTTTCTAAATGCTGTACCTGATTCCTGAGAATGCCTTCAGCTAAAAAGAACAGGTACAGTGGACCCGCTTCCTACTTTATATCCTCTCTGATGCCCTCACCTTACAGGTGCATAGGTTCCTTTTGCACTCTTCCTTAAGGATCTCCTCACACCATGACTGACTTACAATCTCTCCCCATCCCAACCTGCCATTACCAAATGTGATCATATTTACAAACAACTGACCCCCAAACAGACCTCACATCAAAGGCTTCTTTCATGCACCTGTACATTCGTGTGCATGGCCACTTTTTTTACTTCTTTGCCTTCTGATGAAATCCCCTTCATCTTTAGAGCCAGCTAACAGGAGTCTCCTGTGACGCCTACAAGGTTCCTCCAAACATCACTCCTTTCACACACCTTGCTGCCTACTGGTGGCTCTGTGCTCATTCACAGAGCCAATCATGCAAGCTATCTGTTGCATTACATTTACCTACCACATTACACACTTGTGCTGAGAGCTGAGAAACTGCCCTAAGCAGGATAAACAAGACCTCCTCTCTCTTGCAGGGACAATCCAGTAAGGTAATGATGTACCCAATAATTATTTCAATCATGTTTAATCATAACTGTAATAAATGCAATAAAAGATTCAGGATGAAGTGTCACACGGATAATGGAAGCCTGCCCTAATCTGGGAGGATCAAAGAGAATTATAAGAAGAAATGCTAAGCAAAAATTGAAAGCTAATAAGGTGATCAGGTAAAAAGGATTTTTAAAGCATTTCCTAGAGAGAAGGAATGGTGCATGCAAAGGCCTTAAGGCAGTGTTCTAGGCACTGTGACAACAAGGAGGGCAGAAGTCAGGGTGCAGCAGAACAACTAGCAACTAGCAGGAGGGAAGGTCTTTCTTATAACCACTATCAGAGCGCTTGGAACATCGTTTGAGGACGACTCACGTGCAAAAATGCAATCCTCGCCAAACAAACTCCTTTATTTCTTAACAAATGTGCTCACTCTACAACTTAGTACAGTGTTTGCCAAACAGTATGTCTTCATGTAAAAATCCACAGAATGAAGAAGTGAGCTCAGTGAGGACAAGAAGCTTTGCCTCTCAGCACCAGTGTGAACAAAATGATCGCTACCAGGGCAAGATTCTGACCTTGCCAACCAAGGCTTATGGGCAGAGGACTCGCTGCATGCCACTGTGTAAGTGCATTTCAAAACCAACCCTGCTATTACCTACAGATGAAGCTTTAAATTCTGAAAAGTAAATTAAGATTTTTAAGTAGGCAAAGGGGTCTCTCAGTCCCTACTGTCTCGTGCTGCCACCAACTAATACCCAACAGAGCTGCGCGACAGCGCCCACAGAATCAAGACTGCAGCCAGGGGAGAAGTGGTGCAGTTCCATCTGCCTGTTCCTATTCTCCAGTTGCTGAACATATCTGGAGACTGCAGGATCAAGAGCAGGACACCAGCACCTATGCCATCCTTTCCCCATTCCTGCCCAAGTACTGTCCACACAGGAAACAAACCGGTGACTGAGGAAAAAAAAAAAGCCCACACCCAATTTACACACCTCTGCCAACTACCAGGAGGTAAGCAGTAAATTTCAAAGCCTAGGCTTTAGTTTGACTACATGAAAGTAAGAAATTGGAGTTAAGTAGCAAAGAGCTTCACGACACACAAAAAGCTTGATGCAATTTTATTCAACAACAGGAAAAGCATCAATACATACAGTGAACAGAATCTCTTAATAACTAAACCAAAGAATAAGATCTTTAGCACATGTTCTAAAAGCATAATCAGAATTTCCACTGTCTGTATTTACTACATTATCCGATGTACATAACAGAACCACTCATACATAAACCATGAATTCTACTAGAATAGGGCTCAACTGAAACTGACAAAACATATGTAAATGTACAAATTACCCGAACAGTTACAGGTATAAAATCAATCTAATTAAACCAGTAAATGGCCCTACCCTTGAAATTTTTCCTGAGTGACCAAGATAAGTCAATTTCCTAGATTAAGTCATTTACAAGATCATTTTAACATTATTCTAGATTTATATGTACATGAAAATTATTTCTAAATGAAGCCTTCTACTTGAACCTTTGAACTTTCAATACTTTTCTGTTCTCTTCCACTTCCTCCACATCTCAAAAATGAAACAAAAGACGAACAAGGCTAAATTCTTAAAAAGACATTCAACATCTACTGACTTCAGCAGCAAAACAAGCAGGAAAACAAATGCTTTCTACTTTGCAGAAGAAAAAACTTTTCTAGTTCAAGAAGAGCGAGGAGGGCCAGCCAGAGAGCTCAACTGACTGAAGTGCCTGCTTAGGCAGACCCAGTAGACCAGGGATCAATGCTGTGCTGGCCCCACCCCAGGGACAAGTTGAGAAGGCTACTGGCACAGTGGCGCATGCCTGTAATCCCAGCGCTTGGGAGGCTGAAAAAAAGAGGATCATTACAGGTCCAATCTGTGTAGTGAGACCCTGTAGACCTTGTACCAAAAAAGAAAAAAGAAAAAGAAAAGCAAGGCTCTCTTCTCTCCATCCAAAAACAAGTACATGAAAAAGTTAAAGTAGGGTTAATAAAGGCTTTCAATTATTTTAAGAATGTACCAGTGAAAATCTAATTTTATAAAGTGGGGGGGTTTTTGGACAGCAATAACTCTGTTTCCAAATATAAAAGTAATCACTGAAACTATTATTCATTTTTAACAAACTGATTGACTATTTGCGAGCATCTCTGCTTCGTCCTTTTATTACTCAAAATGATAGCTATGAGCCTCCACTTCAGCTCTCACCTTTTAAAGACCTATCTTTTAATGTTTTACTAGTACAGCAATAAGCAAGCAATTGAACCTCAATATAGTAGAGTATTACCAAATAACCACACAAAACCAAGTATCAGGCAAATAAGGATGACAAGAATCAGGTCGTTTTAAAAGGTTATAGAGCATAAATCTGAAGTTGACACAATCAAGTTACCATGATACTGAGAAGTGCTTCATCAAGTGTTCTAGTTGCAGCATTCCTACCGGACTGTCCAGTAATCTAGTACCTGTTCTGAGGAGGAAGTAAGCCGTGCGCTGCTGCTGCGTGCCTCTGTCAATGCAAATATTATAAGCCAACCGAAACGTGCATGACTCAATGATACGGTGTTAATAAAGAACAGTAGAGCTTCAGAAATCCTGGTCACAGAAATCCTGACGAACATTCCCAGTGACTCTCTCCTGCTTTAAAGAACTACTGACTTCTCGCCGGATAATCAAATAACGCAATTTACAACTAAGTGAGAGCGCTGCCTAATGACAATGAAACCTCCTGCTTTGAAAAATCTGAAATATTTTCCCCGTGAGTTGACTTAGAAAACATTAAATACAAATCTGGATCTCCCCAAACAAAACATATCAGCTAAAAATACTGTATCTCTTCCAACAGCTTAGGCAGAAGCCCTCCAAGTGAACGAACTAAATTTAGGTGTTCTCTCCGGATCTTCACCATGCACCTCCTGCGACCGTGCGGCAGACCGCAAGGTGCGTGCACGGGCTCCCGAGACAGCTGGCCAGGAATCCAGCGGCAGCGTCTCCGGAACACCGACACACCGAATGCGATTCCTCTCCGTTCCAGCCCACCGCCGGCTCTGGCCGCAGCACCGCCACCTCGACCGCAAGGCCGCCGCCCGCCCGGCTGTTCCACCCGCGCCGGGCCCGAGGCACCGCCGCCTTCCCTCGCGCTCGCAGAAGCGAAGGCTGTCAGCTGGGCGGGCAGGCTGCTCCGAGCGGACCCGGCCGAGCCGGGAGGGCCGGG